GCTTACTTCACTTAGAATGACATTCTCCAGGAACATCCATGTTGCTGCAAATGGCATTATGTTGTCATTGTTTATAGCTGAATAGTATTCCATTCTATAAATATACCACATCTTCTTTATCCAGTCATCTGTTGATGGACATTTAGGCTGTTTCCGTGTCTTGGCTATAGTAAATAGTGCTGCTATGAACATTGGGGTGCAGGTGTCATTTTGAAGTAGAGTTCCTTCTGAATATATGACCAGGAGCAGAATTCCTGGGTCATATGGTAAGTTTATCCCTAGTCTTTTGAGGAATCTCCATACAGTTTTCCACAGTGGCTGCACCAGCCTCTCCAGCATTTGTCGTTTGTGGAACTATGTTGTATTTTTAATTGGAATTCCAGTCCTTGGGAGACTCCTTTGACTAATTTGTTTAGCAAACTGTTTTAATAAATTGCCTATCTCTCAGACTCTAATAGTTTGTTCTTAAGCCGCCTCATTCTTTCATGATCCATATTAAATTCTCTGCAGACATTGTGAGTTTTCATCATTGGCAGGTTTCTACTATTCTTTCTCTAAGTAGCTATCAGATTGTAATCCACTTAAAAAGCATAGGAATCCTTAAGGAGTATTAGAGAAGCCCTCATCTTTTCCACTTTCTAACCTCTGTTATAGGGACAGATTAGTTTATTGGTTAAGACCCCGAGCTGAACTTTGAGGCAATTGATTTAGCAAAGCTCTCTCCAAACCCTTGCCTTGCACAGGGTTCTGTGTATCAACAAATGGCTGTTTCATCCTTTCAATTGTTCAGGCAAAAATCTGTGCACTCATACTTGATTGTTACCTTTTTCCTCATAGTCTAACCAATTTGTTTTCAAATCCTGCTTGTCTTTCCTTCAAAATATGTGCAGAATGTGATCATTCTTCCCTACCTCTACCCTATGACAAATCAATTAATTACAGGAGGAGATCCTTGTGTCCAGCAGCCTACCTGAGTTATGGGTCACCCTGGTCTTCCCATTGCTCATATAAAGCTTTGGCATAAAGTCCGATTAGGGAAATAGGTCCTGCTCCACACCACCTTCTCTCACTTTCTGTTGTGGTTCTATCTTGCTTTGATCCAGAGAGAGAGAGAACAAGAGAAAAGTCTCAAGACACTATTAGGTTAGAGATAGTAGGAGCCAAGTCCCAAGAGTTGCTTCTATGAAAAGGACTTGACCCTTGTCAGCTGGATATCTCTGTGTTTATGCACATGTGAGAATTTGAAGATGAGAGGAGGAAGAGAAAGAGAGAAGGGAAGTGTTTTTGTTAAATTCTGTATTTAAATGGAGAGGCAGTTTTGTATAATGTTTAAAGAGTATGGAATCTAGAGCCAGTCAGCCTTGGTCTCAATCCTGCCAGTAGGCGTGTGACCCAGGGCAAATTCTCTCTCTCTCTCTCTCTCTCTTTTTTTTTTTTCCAGTTTTACTGAGAAATAGTTCACAGACATCCCTGTGTAAATTTAAAGTATACAGCATAATGGTTTGATTTATATAAATTGTGAAATAATTACCACAGTATGGTTAGTTAACATCCATCAACTTATATAGATAGAATAAAAATAAAAGAAACAAGTTTTCTCCTTGTGATGAGAACTCTTAGGATCTACTCTCTTAACAATTTTCCTATATACCATACCTCAGTGTTAACTATAGTCATCATGTTGTGTATTAAACCCCCAGTACTTAATTATCTAATAACTGGAAGTTTGTACCTTTCGACCACCTTCCTCCAATTCTGCTTACCCCACCCCCAGCTTCTGGTACAAATCTAATCTATTTTTCTATGAGTTTTTTTTTTAGCATGTTTTCTTTTAGATTCCACATGTAAGTGAGATCTAACAGTATTTATCTTTCTCTTTCTGACTGATTTCACTTACCATAATACCTTCAAGTTTCATCCATGTTGTTGCAAATGGTAGAATGTCCACATTTTTTATGGCTGAATGATATTCAATTGTATGTGTGAGATTATCTATCTATCTACCTATCTATCTATCTCACAATTTCTTTATCCATTTATCTGTTGATGGACACTTGTTTCCATGTTTTGGCTATTGCAGATAATGCTGCTATTAACATGGGGTACAGATATCTTTCTGAGGTAGTGTTTTTATTTCCTTTGGATATATTCCCAGAAGTGGAATTGCTGACTCATATGGTAGTTCTGTTTTTAATTTTTTGAGGAACTTGCATACTGTTTTCTATTGTGGCTGGGAGAATTCTTCAACTTCTCTTTATTTCAGTTGCCTTTTTGAGATGGGGGTAAAACTAGCATTTGCCTTACCACATGTGGTCATTGTGAACACTTGGTAAGTTAGTATATTGTAGAGCAATAGTTAGTGTGCATTAGTAGTTGTATTTTTTTTAAGTTGTATTAATTTTCAAAGTAGCATTGTGGACTTTAGAATTCCTGGTGGCATAGGGAGCTATAAACATTTTTCTGATGATATCTAGTACCCCATTTCCATAGATTAGGGCTTTTTCCTTGTGCAGTAGAGAGCTGTTTAAAGGGACATTGGCTGTATACATCTATCAAAATTCATCAAATTGTACATTTGAAATATGTGTAGTTTACTGTACGGGAACCATACCGTAATAAAGGTGTTAAAAAGAGGGGAGAGGGGACCAAGTGATACATGTTAAATGCATTCAGCTCCACAGAGTCACCAGTCCTGGAGTGAGTTTTAAGTCTTCAGTATTTTATCATTTAGTCCAATAAATAAAGCAACAACAAACTCGACCCATTATTTTCCTCCTTTCCCTGAAACAGAATGGTTCATGTTTGGGTGAAGACAGTGGAGTTTGGTTTTAGGATGACAGACAAGTCTGCAGTGTGAATTTCCTAACAGTGATGGCACGTTAGACTTCAACTAGACCTTTCATCAGAATCAGAACTGACTGTGAAAAGAGTCACTACAAAGTTAGCATTCTTTACTCCATATCCTTTTTTAAAAAATATATTTTTATTGAAGTATAGTCAGTTT